AGTGTGTACACACACCACCTTACTCACCAGTGTGTACACACACCACCTTACTCACCAGTGTGTACACACACCACCTTACTCACCAGTGTGTACACACACCACCTTACTCACCAGTGTGTACACACACCACCTTACTCACCAGTGTGTACACACACCACCTTACTCACCAGTGTGTACACACACCACCTTACTCACCAGTGTGTACACACACCACCTTACTCACCAGTGTGTACACACACCACCTTACTCACCAGTGTGTACACACACCACCTTACTCACCAGTGTGTATACACACCACCTTACTCACCAGTGTGTACACACACCACCTTACTCACCAGTGTGTACACACACCACCTTACTCACCAGTGTGTACACACACCACCTTACTCACCAGTGTGTATACACACCACCTTACTCACCAGTGTGTACACACACCACCTTACTCACCAGTGTGTACACACACCACCTTACTCACCAGTGTGTACACACACCACCTTACTCACCAGTGTGTACACACACCACCTTACTTGTGGGGAAAACCTGACTCCAATAACTTGTAATTAAATATATACTTTGACAGCTATGAAGGACCACCACTTTTTGAGAAAAAGTGGAAAACAAAATAAGACAAGGGAAAAACTGATCCCAGGAACTAGTGTCCTATGGATCTTAGTGAAACTGTATTTCTTGTATAAATGGAGTCAAATTAACTTACACAAAATTGGGGGGTTACATGCTAAAAGATTAATACATCCCTAACATTATTCAGGTGCTGGTTCTTCACCAGAGTAAATAAAATATGAAAGTAAATAAGGTTGATTATATAATATTAATTGGAGGTAAATGAACCTCAATATACTGTTGGATAGAATAATACAGCATATAAATCAATGGGTTAGTGTAATTGATCTCTTTGAGATCACTACTGTAATTACAGTTATTGCTACAGATAAAAAAAGGGACAGCTTAGCTGTAAATCTAGTGAGGTGTAATCAGTTGCTACGCTCCACCGACGACGTGTTGCATAGGGTAAATTGTTGCACGGAACGGTGGGGAAGCCTAACACCTCGGTTAGCGTCGCCTTGGTACTGAAAGGCAATTACATTGTAGAAATCTTCTACATAATAAATAACTACAAATACATCCTAAATTATGAGGATAATAGTAGGAAATTTCAGCCAATATCTGTGCAATTTATATTCAAGCACTGTAAATTCTCTTTGGAGAAAATAATGAAATTAATTTAATCATCTATTTTGATGGTAAATTTACTTAAGACACGTACGGGATTGTATTATTTGTTCTACGGCCTAACGACAACTAGCCTAAATGATAATTGTGGCCACATAATAACAAAAAGGTAAACCTAGCTGCCGAGCCGCGTGTCCGTTGATGTGGAGACTTGAGCAATTCTTCGTCCTCCAGCTGCTGCTTGAAAGGCGTTGACTTTGGAATTGCTCATATGATAGTCGGGGACACGGCTAAAGTGCCAGTTAATGTGGCACCGCTCTACTGGTCGTGGGAGCGAAATAAATGGGGTCAAAACGTAGCTCTGCTACACGCTGTCAATAGCGTCTGCGTCGTGCTCTCTCGTCTTCCCCCTCTTCCTTATTGCGCATGCGCGGCTCTCGATAGACATCTCGAGCGTAAATGGATATGTATATATCGCAATCGACTTAGGAAGGAAGAGGTAGTGACGAGCATTAATATCACATTAAATTCTTCTGTGATAAAATAGAATTTCTCGTAACATAAATTGGCTTATTAAAGTTGTGCAACTAATCGAGGAAATTAAAGTAAAATCATTTACATTAAAGTAATTTCCTCTAGAATGCTTAATATCAACTAAATAAGGAAGTTCCAGTAAGTAGTAGTATACTACGAAATTAAACTTATTAGTAACTATTTTTAGAAAAGGAAATGATAAACTGGACTCTTGTTATAAATCCAACTAAATGTGAAGAGAATTCATGTTACTGCCTGTCGTTCCTCACGTCGTCATTCTGACTAGGAAGAATCTGGCAATATGTCTAAATAAATCATGATAATGATTAAATCTACAAGTTAGTAATTTTAGTAACTACTTGTAGTTAATAGAAAGGTTGCATAAAATACAAAGATGTATAAAACTGTTGGTTATTTCCAACATTACTCACCAATGTGTGTACACACCACCTTACTCACCAGTGTGTGCACATACCAATGGAGGCTAGGGTGTTCTGATGGCTATGGTGCTTTGAAGGCTAAGGTGTCCTGAAAGCTACGGTGCTCTGATGGCTACGGTGCTTTGATAACTATGGTGCTCTGATAGCAACAGTGCTCTGAAGGCTATGGTGCTCTGGTGGCTACGGTGCTCTGACAGTTCTGGTGCCCTGAAGACTACGGTGTCCTGAAGGCTACGGAGCTCTGGTGGCTACAGTGATCTAATGGCAATGGTGCTCTCAAAGCTGTCGAGCTCTGAAGGCTACGGTGCTCTGATTGCTATGGTGCTCTGTAGGCTACAGTGCTCAGATGGATATGGCTCTCTGGAGGCTACGGTGTTCTAATAGTTATGGTGCTCTGAAGTATACGGTGCTCAGATGGAACCGGTTCTCTGGAGGCTTCGGTGCTCTGAAGGCTACGGTGCTTTGATAGCTTCGGGTCTCTGATGGTTACGGTGCTCTGAAGGCTACGGTGCTCTGATGGCTACGAGCTCTGGTGGCTACGGTGCTTTGATAACTATGGTGCTCTGAAGGCTACGATGCTCAGAAAGCTACGGTGCTCTGAGGGTAACGGTGCTCTGAGGGTACGGTGCTCTGAAGGCTACTGTGCACTGAAGGCTACAGTGCTCTGATGGCTACGGTGCTCTGAAGGCTACAGTGCTCTGATGGTTATGGTGCTTTGATAGCTACGGTGCTCTGAAGCACCGCAGTGCTTCAACTATAATAATTAAGAAATCGAAATACTCGAAGGACCACTTTTGAGAAAAATGGGAAAACAAATAAATGGATTATAAGACTGACACTGTGGTACCAGTGCCTGTGGATGTTAGATTATGTGGTAACTAGCTGTACCCGGCAACGCTTTGCTGTGGCTCAGTAACACATGTGCGTTGCTGAGTCACAGCAACCTTTCCCTGTCTCCCAGTCCTCCCTACCATCCCCTCCCCCCCCCCCCTCCGCGTCCCCTAGTCCTCCCAACCATTCCTCACTCCCTCGTCCGTTTTTTCCTTCTCATCATCCTCTCATCCTAAGCATTCCCCACTCCCCCATCCCCTCGTCCTCCCTACTATTCCTCACTCCCCTGTCCCCTTATCCTCCCCACCATTCTCCATTCCCTCGTCCCCACCATCCCCAACTCCTGTCCCCTCGTCCTCCCCACCATCCTCAACTCCCGTCCCCTCGTACTTCCCGCCATTCCCCCACTGCCTCGTCTGATGATCAAGTGATCTGATGTTCCCATCAGAAAATTGGGAACATCAAATGATCTGGGGCTAGATTCACAAAGAAGTTACGCAAACACTTACGAACCTGTACATCTTTTCTCAATCTTGGCGGCTTTGTTTACAATTATTAAACAGTTAATGAGCTCCGAAGCACCAGGAGGCTGTTTATAACAATAACAAAAGTTGATTTGGGAAATTTTCATGGTTGTAAACTGTTTAATAAATGTAACCAAAGCCATCAAAGATTGAGGAACGATGTACACGTTCGTAAGTACTTGCGTAACTGCTTCGTGAATCTGGCCCCAGATGTTACCATCACTGAAATATAAGAAAAACAGTTCAAAAACGAAATGAAAAACAATGAGAAAAAAACTATACTAACGAAATGAACGGTATGGTAAACAATACAGCACAATTCCAAGGCAATGTCACACAAAATAATTAAATTAACATGAAAATAAATCAAATATGATGAAACTTTAATTTATCAATGAAATCGGAAACATTGAAATGGAATCGTAACATATTTAGTATAGCTTCCCTGTCTACGTTGATAGATCAGAACTATGTTAGCCTTTTCCGTGTCTGGGCTTGGTTCCCTATTTGTAAGGATGTTTGGAAGATAATCTGTTGTGGGAAGCTTATCTTGAATACACATTCCCTTAGTACACAAGGCAAGAGACAATCTGATGTGATCACTTTATTTCTAACTCCCTTACCAGCTTTTCTATTTCTCTGGACACTTCTATATACTGTACTCTAACATCCGAAAGTTGACACTTTGGCTGGTTCGCTAAAAATTTCATCCTGCTCAGACACACTTTGGAACTGTTCGTTTAGTGTTTCACGCATTTCCTTTTCAGCCTGTGTGTCTCTTCCATTTGTAATCTTTCGATTGCATCTTTCATTGGCTATTCGTTTTCAAGATTTACAGGACAAGCCAGGTTCTGTTCTATAATTGTCTGCTATTCCCTTCTCAAAGTTTGTCTCACTCTCTCCTCACTGTTGTGTAGTAGTTCTGTGCCGTTTTGCAGTACTGGTGTGTGTGTGTTTGTAAGTGGGTGTATTTACTATTTGTGCCTGCAGAATCGAGCTATTAGCTCTTGGACCCCACCTTTCTAACAAATCTACTTTTCCTCTATTGTGTCTAGTACATATATTTCTCTGTAGCACACACGCACATCACCAGGAAGCGGCCCGTACCAGCTATCCAACTCCCAGGTACCTATTTACTTCTAGGTGAACAGAGCATCAGGGTGAAAGAAACTGCCCAATTGTTTCCACCTCCACCGGGAATTGAACCCGGAACCTCAGGACTACGAAACCCGAGCGCTGTCCACTCAGCTGTCAGACCCAATGGGTGAAAGAAACTTGCCCATTTGTTTCTGCCTCGGGCAGGAATCGAACCCGGGCCCATGGGACTACGACCCACGAGCGCTGTCCACTCAGCTGCGAAATTGTTTGTGTGTGTTTGAAGGTCAAGGATATGTTTGTGTGCATATAGTGTTTGTGCACTTGTATGTGCATGTTGAATGAGTTCGTGTGGTGCAAAAGAGGATATAATGGAAGCAGGATGTGATTATGAAGACATTTTTATTATGTACATAGTACAATAAATACTGTTACAAGTTAAGCGTATCAAGAAAATAGGAGAAAGTCTATCCTCTACTTGCATGTTCACATTCAGAACCTATAAATATTAATGCAAAATAAATATAAAAACTGTGGATTGCAATGGTCAAATAAATGTGTTCATTGGCTGACTTTTAAATGTAATTGAAAGTCACAAGATCCTTTCACAACATTATACTTGAAATTTGTTATGTACATCACCATCATCTGGAGTCAATTTAAAATTCAATCACTACACTTTGTCATACATAAATTTTACGGGACTTTGTGCTTCGTATCCACAAAACTGCCCCAACACATGAGTGCATATTGCATTACACATACAGTAAACGTTTCCGAGTGACACTAGAGTTAGCGAGCCGTCACGTTTGCTCCTGGAGAGCAACGGTCCTCTAGCTATACAAAGTGCATGGCACTCCTTCGTGCGCAGAGCCGTTAATTTGCGGCGAGATCATCGAGTATCGCTGTCATGCGTCCAATTATCATGTTCATTAAAAGCTCATATTAACCCTCTTGCTGCAGGCGATGAATCTCATCCAAAATAAAGAGTGGTGGATATGACAGATGGCCAGAGTCAGGGTGCTTCAGATCACAGCACCTGTGAGATATGCCACATTAACCTACTCTAAACACACCAAATGTACATATTTATACCCTTAACGTTCTCGTAATTCATACTTGGAACCTAATATTATGTGGATCAGATACTTGCACACGTGCGGGGAGAATTATAAAACGACACTGAATAATTACATATTCATAAAGAAAATACTAGAAACTGTTTTCTCCTACTTGGTCTACAGAAACATTTTCTGTATTTCAAGGAGCATGGTACATGCAAGATCTTCCCAAGGCCTTTAACAACTACTCAAGAAGCCATCAGATAATTCAGTACTAGTGTTAAGCTACTAAAGAATTACAGAGGTGCTTGTGACAACTTAGCTCGGTCAAGATTATGCATCTCTCAAATCTCACTTCACCCCCGGCAACTGTGACAAAAACTCGGTGAAGATAATGCATCTTACCCAGCAACTGTGACAAACTCAATGAAGATAATGCATCTTACTAATCTCGTTTTATTGCCAGCATCAACTGACATGTTTCTAAGATGGAAGGAGATCAGAAAACTTTAGGGAATATAAAGCTCCATGTTTAAAATACTATTTTTGCTCCATCATCAATCCATTTAGAGCAAATTCAAGGTTAAAATTATTTTGTAAATTATCTTTTATGATATTAATAACTATTGACTTTTTAAGAAATATGAAATGAAACTAATATCCATCTTATTTTGAAAAGAAATTTTAATTAAATAAAAATTAATGTAATTATAAGATTTTCAGTTGCTACATAATAAAAAATTTCCATTATAAGCCTTAAAAGTACAATTTCGTATAAAATATATGCGAGCCTAATACTCCGAGTGAAGTTAAAAAATGACAATCTTATTAGGGTAAATTTTGGTGTATGTGCAGCAGCAGCAGCAAAGGGGTTAACATGCAGCACCTCCTGATGTCTTGCCAAAAACTCTGAATAATTAATTTACCTGGCGTCTACTTATGTCTTTGGGAGGCTCATCTCGACCTTTTCACCTTTTGGGAGGCTCTCTTCTCTATGTACACGAGTGGCGGAGGTAATCATAAATATTTCCGCTTGGGGATCTCTTGGGAACAGAGATCAGTATTTTTGCACATTTTTGGGGATAAGGCAAGAAATTATCTGTGCCATTATGAAGATTTTCTTAATGATCATCACAAAGTGGAATGGGGCGGGGGGAAGGGATCATGGTCCCGAGCTTTGCCTAACTTCTGGTCAAGAGGCAAGTTGTTATTCTTATGATCACTGAGACTTGTCCTTGTTAATGGATTGGTAATTAAAGCCACTTAAAGTATACAAAACTTACATCCTCAATAACATTATATAACTATATGTCTCATTCTATACATTAGGTATTTTCAAGTCCTCTCATCAATCTACAATCCTTCTTTTGGATTTAGAAGGCTTTCTTCACATGGGGGGATACGGGCCATGACTGAAGCCCCCAAGAGTAGATGAGTATGGTGACCGACCTGGCGTTGGAGGTGCAGGATAGGTCTGATAGGGATTGGGTGGGGTGTGAAGTGCTCCATACTGACCCATAGTTGGGGGTTGTGGTGTGGTTGCAGAGTGAGGGCTCAGACCAGGTGGGTACTGGGCAGCATATGGGGGATACTGCCCAGCATAAGCAGCATATGGGCTAGCAGAGACAGAAGTCCCTGTTCGGTATGACGGGGCATACTGTGGATAAGACGGGGGCTGGTATGAAGGGAAGGGCGAGGGAGATGTCACTGTTGGACTTGAGGATGAATGGGCGGCACTGGGAAGTGCAGACGTGAGAGATTGCTGGGAGGTTGCAGAGTTGATTAACGATTGCAAGTCAGGACTAAGTGTGGCTTGGTAGTCTGGACGACGGAAGGCACTTGTGCCTGTTGACAGCGTGTAGTTGAGGTAGTCCAGGGCAGAGGCATGGCTGTGTGGGGAGCTCAAGTCCTCTGGTACAGCATCAAAAACTTGAGAATTAAGTAAATGTGACAAATTGAGGGGACTGTCAGCTCCGCCAAGTCCACCACTTCGTGAACTGGACACCAATCCACTCCCAGCATGAGCCAGGGTTGAGCTCAGGGAACTCTGCTGTGACTGTTGAATCTGGTGTTGTTGCTGTGAAAGCTGTGGGCTCTCTGACATTGTGGGGTAGGTTGTGGTAGTGTGTTGTGTAGTGGCGGGCATCGAACTGGCCATGCTCGACATTGTTCCGTAACTCCCATTACTGGTGAATTGTGCATGCGTAGTTGAAGGCAGAAAGGGAGACTGAGATGACGTGTAGGAATTGGAAGATGACATACTAGACTGGTGTACATGAGGAGCAACCTGCGCCACATTGCTTCCCAAGCTGGAGGTGGATACTGCATCCATGTTGCTCTTAGACCAACTACTGCTGTTAGTTGTGCTGCTAGTGCCTGATGATTGCTGTTGTTGTTGTTGTTGCTGCTGCTGCTGCTGTGCTGGTTGTTGCAGGAATGGTTGGAAGAGCGGCTGGGAGGAATGGAAAGCTTGCTGGGACGAGAAAGGTGGCAAATGGGCTAGTGTTGCAGATGTGAGGGTTGTGTGAGCAGTACCCGGGGGCCCAGGACCACCAGGGGGCAGCAGGTTGCTCATCGACTGTAGTGGAGTCAGACTTGCTGTGGGTTTGTTTGGCGTCTGTTGTACTTGGGGTTTCACTATTCCAGTGCGACTCTCACTGCTGCTTACTGAACTAGACAGGGGTTTGGCTAGGTCCCTCATTCCGAATCCAACGGCTGATTTGGATGGAGCTCCTAGAACCACTTCGTTAGAATGGATAGATGGCGACGAGTTGCCAGTTGTTGTCAAATTTGTCGGCCCTCCGTCGGACGTCCCTAATCCTGTGGAACTATTAGTGCTGGTAGATCCTAGTTTGTCGTCCTGCTTCCCAGGTAATGGGGAACCCTCAGCTCCTTGCTTTAATTCAGAAGCAGTAGAGTCAGAGAGACTGTTTGACATACCCAACCCTTCTGACTCTTTATTGGTCCCAATACCAGACTCTGAACCCAACCCACTCTCTTTTCCTGATGATTCTCCACTGTCCTTCTCCTCCTTTTTGGGACTGTTAACTTCTTCCTTTTTGTTGACGAGATTCACAGGACCATCGGCTTCAGCCTGGCCTTCCTGCTTGGTTTCTTTGTCCGAGGGTTTGTTGTCTTCACTCTCAGACTTGACCTGGTCCTTGGTGTCTTCTCCTGGTTCAGTCTTCCCACTCGCACCTTCTTTTTCTTGCTCTTTCTTGGCTTGATTCATCTTTCGAAGTTTTTCATTTCTGTGCATATTTGCTAGCTGTGAGAGAGTGGTCTTCTTTGTTATTTTTGGTATAACACTGGTGCCTGGCAGTTTAGTGCCTCCGACAACTCCACTCGTGCTGGGCATGACGCTCAGAGCTTTCGGTGGAGTGGTGGTGACTGTCAATTTTGGGTTGAGTTTGATATTGCGTACAGCTTTTGAAGTGGCCAAGGCAGCACTAGCCTTTGTAGCTGGTGTTATGACAACACTCTTGTTCAAGAGAGCTTGTGGGGTGCCCCCCCCGGCATTTACGGGCATGGTGATTGTCTGGTAAGTTTTGCCACAACGTATATTTGCAGTCATTTGCTTCTTTGTGATCCTAATGGGCATCTGACCCTTAGTGATGAGGTTCCCAGTGGCATACTGCATAGCCATGGGAGGACGGCCCCTCCTGGCACCCCCACCTCGGCCACCCATGTGTTGCATCCTCGGCCTCGGCGAGTTCACGATTGTCGGTACAATGGTCACGCTTCCCTTGTTCAGCGGCAGCCCAAACACTTCTTCTGTGAAAAAGTGAGAGAGATTAACAAGTTGTACCCCATATTATTTTCAAGCCATAAGTATGACCTGTAAATGATCACAAGCCATGAGTATGACCTGTAAATGTTCACAGACCATGAGTATGACCTGTAAATGTTCACAGATCATGAGTATGACCTGTAAATATTCACAGGCCATGAGTATGACCTGTAAATGATCACAGGCCATGAGTATAACCTGTAAATGATCACAGGCCATGAGTATGACCTGTAAATGATCACAGGCCATGAGTATAACCTGTAAATGATCACAGGCCATGAGTATAACCTGTAAATGTTCACAGGCCATGAGTATAACCTGTAAATGTTCACAGGCCATGAGTATGACCTGTAAATGTTCACAGGCCATGAGTATGACCTGTAAATGTTCACAGGCCATGAGTATGACCTGTAAATGTTCACAGGCCATGAGTATGACCTGTAAATGATTTTATATCAAAAGTCAAAAGTGTATAAAAAGAGATAAAATTCCTGCTTTAGGTAGAGTTGATATCTTGGCAACAGAGGTACTATACTACAATGAAATTACACAGTATAATTACCTTAGTTACAGAATGAGAGCTATGTTCGTAGTGTCTTGTTTTTCCAGTATTCCATCATATAACCCTTTAAAACTATTGACATTTTCGTCATCCACCACTTTCTCATTTAACTTGTTCCAACCATCTAACACACTGTTTGCAAAAGTGAACTTTCTAATGCCAAAAATTTAACATTGAATGTATTGAAACATCAATTTCTGGGTGAGCTTCTTTAAGTTACTAAGCTGATATAGTGCCAAACTACTATGTGCCATCAGTTGTGGAGTTCTTTTAGGCCTAACAGGGACCAGAAGGCAGAACCTGGCCTATAAAGATGCATAGGGAGTAGTTATGGTACTTATGATAAAATTTCTGTAAATTTATTCATGTTTGCTTGGACATGGATAGTTTTCTTCAAGAAGTGCTGAACCAACCGGGCAGTAGTGGATATATGGGCCTGCAAGCCGCTCCAAGAGTGTGAGCTTGGTCCAACAGCCTGTTGGACCAAGCTCTCACAAGTCAAGCCTGGCCCCAGGCCAGGCTTGGGAAGTAGAACAACTCTCAGAACCCCACCAAGGTATGCCACCACCAGGGAAGGCACTCAGAAGATCAGTGAAGCAAAACAAAGCACTACTGGTGATAAGTGAGACTACAGCCTCACAACCACAAAAACAACTCTCCTAACAATGTAAATAAACAATTGAAAATCAGGAAACTAGGGCTAGCTGTTTCTTTTCTCTCCCCCCCTCCCCGGGTTTGCCCCAAAATTGGCATTTCATTACATTCAACACTGGTTTTCTTGGGGAAGTCCCTTGTGGCTCTCTGAAGTTATATACCATGGAGAAGGAACGAACTGGCAACAACCAGGGAGGAGGGAGCACCACAGAAAAACAAGTATAAAACCAGCGTTGAATGTAATTAAACGCCATTTTTTGGGCGAGTCCTGGAGGCTCCCCCAGAGCTATACCAGGCTGATATGTATGCATTAGACCGTGGCATCAGTCAATTTGATTGGAGTTCTAGTTTAACAGTAAGTACCTTGCCTAGGCTTCCCTTGACAGTCAGCCTAAGGGCCCTGGAAAACCCCATTGGGACGCTTTTGTCCAATGGATGTGCCCTCTGGGTTCCATCTCACTTTGTGCGAGCTCAAAGGTTGCTCTGTCCACTTGTTTCAGGGTGACATTCACTGCTTTGCCTCTGTCATGCTGCCTGTTGGGCTGATAACACCTTTGACCCCGAGTCCTGCAAGTGGTGTACCTTGCTTGTTCTCCAATTCACCCAGTTCACTGATACTGATAATCGGGTGCAGGCAGCATCGGCGTTGCATGCCTACCTGCTTGATGGGGTTCTGGGAGTTCTCCTACTCTCCAAGCCCGGCCCAAGGCCAGGCTTGATTTATGAAAGTTTGGTCCACCAGGCTTGGAGCAGCCCGCAGGCCCACATACCCACCACAGCCCGGTTGGTCCCGAACTTCTTTTATAAAACAGTCTAGTTTTCCCTTGAAGGTGTCCACAGTTGTTCCGGCAGTTTTCTTATAGTCGCTGGGAGGACGTTGAAGAACCGTGGACCTCTGATGTTTACACAGTGTTCTCTGATTGTGCCTATGGCACCTCTGCTCTTCACTGGTTCTATCCTGCATTTTCTTCCATATCGTTCACTCCAGTACGTTGTTACTTGGCACTCCAGTATTTTCCAAGAGTATATTATTTGGTATCTCTCTAGTCTCCTTTCTAGTGAGTACATTTGGAGAGCTTTGAGACGATCCCAATAATTTAGGTGCTGTATCGCATGTATGCATACTGTGTATGTTCTCTGTAGTCCCTCTATTTCAGTAATCTCTCCTGTTCTGAAGGGGGAAGTAAGTACTGAGCAGAACTCGAGACGGGACAACACAAGTGACTTAAGAGTACAACCATTGTGATGGGATCCCTGGATTTGAAGGTTCTCGTAATCCATTCTATCATTTTTCTGGCTGACAATATTTGCTTGGTTATGCTTCCTAAATGTTAGATCGTCGGACATTATTCCCAAATCCTTGACATGCTGTTTTCCTACCATGGGCAGATTTGATTGTGTTTCGTACCCTGTATTATATTTCAGATCCTCATTTTTGCCATACCTGAGTTCCTGGAATTTATCACTGCTAAACATCATGTTATTTTCTGCTGCCCAATCGAAAACTTTGTTGATATCTGCTTGTAATTTTTCAATGTCTTCAGCAGAGGTAAGTTTCATGCTGATTTTTGTGTCATCTGCAAAGGATGACACTAAGCTGTGACTTGTATTTTTGTCTATATCTGATATGAGAATAAGGAACAGCAGTGGTGTAAGGATTGTACCTTGAGGTACAGAGCTTTTAACTGCGCTTGGACTATTTGATTGACTGTTACTCTGTGTTCTGTTCGATAGGAAATTTAGTATCCAGCGTCCTACTTTACCAGTTATTCCCAATGACCTCATTTTGTCTGCTATCACTCCATGGTCACATTTGTCGAATGCCTTTGCAAAGTCTGTGCGTACATCTGCATTTTGCTTTTCTTCTAGAGTTTGTGATTTTGTCTTAGTGGTTGAGTAACTGTGACAGACAGGATCTGCCCACTCTAAATCCATGTTGTCCTAGGTTGTGTAGCTCATTACTTTCCATAAAACTAGAAATTTGATTCCTATTCACTCAAAAACTTTTAATTATGTGTGATGTTAGTGCAACTGGTCTATAATTTTTTGCCAAGGCTTTACTACCACCCTTGTGCAGAGGAGCTATATCTGCAGATTTAAGTGCAGCTGGTATCTCCCCTGTATCCAGGCTGCAAGGCCTTTGCATGGTTTAGGTTGCTGCAATGCGTTAGGTTGGTTGTCATTCCGGATGCCCCGAGGCTGCCCCGCTTTGGTTATAGGGACCCAGACTTTGGGCCATTAGTCGCTTCGACTTTGGTTTCATCCGCGCTCCCTCGTCCTTCCCTTGCTGTGGTTTGTCTTGCTCTTCCCCCCCCCTCCCCTTCCCTTCCTGCTGAGAACTACCAAACGTCTGATGATTTCGGAGTCAGGACAGTGTTTAGATGGTGGTTAGACTCGGGAAGTTTCGAGGATTGCCCCATCCGATTCGGCGACGAAGGCAATCAAGCCTGCTCCTCCAGCTAGGGGGTTGGGGTCTGACCAGCAGGCCCCCCTTTTCCCTGGTTTTCTGGTGAACTCTGCCTTTTCTTTGGGGGGTAGAAGGTTTGGAGGATAGCTGTGCCCCGGGTCCTGACGTGGAGGATTCTGGGGCTGGGGGAGGAGTGGACTTAGGGGTTGGGGGTTTAGGGCCCCGTTTGACCCTGCTTGGGTGTTAGTACCCAAGTAGTGTCTACTCATGGGGGCCAAGCGGGGAGGACCACTGAACACAAATATTATATATTATTTTACACACACACACACACACACACAGGGGGGCCCTAGGGGGCCTCGTAGCCTGGTGGATAGCGCGCACGATTCGTAATTCTGTGGCGCGGGTTCGATTCCCGCACGAGGCAGAAACAAATGGGCAAAGTTTCTTTCACCCTGAATGCCCCTGTTACCTAGCAGTAAATAGGTACCTGGGAGTTAGTCAGCTGTCACGGGCTGCTTCCTGGGGTGTGTGTGTGTGCGTGTGGTGTGGGAGAAAAAAAAAAAAAATAGTTAGTAAACAGTTGATTGACAGTTAGGAGGCGGGCCGAAAGAGCAAAGCTCAACCCCCGCAAACACAACTAGATGAACACGAACACGAACAAACACGAACACGATTGATAGGGTAGATAAAGACAGTCTATTTAACACAAGGGGAACACGCACAAGGGGACACAGGTGGAAACTGAGTGCCCAAATGAGCCACAGAGATATTAGAAAGAACTTTTTTAGTGTCAGAGTGGTTGACAAATGGAATGCATTAGGGGGTGATGTGGTGGAGGCTGACTCCATACACAGTTTCAAGTGTAGATATGACAGAGCCCGATAGGCTCAGGAATCTGTACACCTGTTGATTGATGGTTGAGAGGCGGGACCAAAGAGCCAGAGCTCAACCCCCGCAAACACAACTAGGTGAGTACAACTAGGTGAGTACACACACGAGAACAGCAATGGGGGACCACAAAGGCAGGACCCCCCCCCCCCCCTCCACCAGGTAGAAAACAAAAACAAAAGAAAGCCCCGCAAGAGGGCAACCAGGTAGAACAGAGCCGGCCACTGTTATTGGTGAAAACTAGCTATGCAGTACCCCACGCACTTATCAGTGACGAAAACTACCTCCTACCCAGAGACAAACAAGGGCAACAAAACCCCAGCTGACTCCAAGGGCGGCCCAAGTACCGAGCAGTAAAGGACACAGCGGAGGTAAATCTCACGGTGACTTGTGGTAGGTGGCCCCAAGGGCAGTACTTACAGGGCACCCAGGGAAGAGAGCCCTAGGAACATGCAGCCCAAGTACCGTGG